TATACACACACATGCATATATATATATATATATATATATAGTACACTTATAATTATTTGTAATATATTTGATAATATATTATTTTTTTTAAACAGGTCATTATTAAATATAATTATTTTAAAATAAATGAAAAATATATATAATATATACTATACAACAGAAATGTATATAGTATGCATATACTGTATATATATATATATATTATAGAATACAAATTATTGGTTATTGTCCAGCAGTGTATTTGATTTCTCAGCCAAATAAAAGTAAGAGATTGGAAAATAATAATAATAATAATAATAATAATAATAGCATGTAATTTACTAGAGGTTCTGACAAAATGTTAATTGCTGCAGTCTATTTATTTATTTTATTTGAATTTATTGCAAAATCTGCACCTCTTCTGTGGCTAATATTAATTTCATAATGATCCTTACTCTGTGAAGTCACGCAGTAGAAGTTAAGTGACAGTGTGCAAATACTACTGACCCATATATGCAATACTAGTTTTACATGTCACTGTTTATAACACAGGGTGTTCATCCTTTGCTGGGCTGATTAAAAAAAGGGCTGATTAAAAAATGGGGGCATAAATTAAGAGTATACCCACTTCTCAAGGCACCACTACACCAGCGGAGTGCCTGAAACCCCTTCAGCCGTGACTTATTCACAATAAAGCATGCCTCAAGTACCTTATTGCTTACAAATGTATATAATATGCATTTCTATAGTATATAGTATAGTGTAATATAGTGGGTGTGGGTGTGTTATTTATTATTAATTAGTTTATATATATATATATATATATATATAATGTATTTACTATATTCATACTATATACTGCATATAGTATGAATATAGTAAATACATTATATATATATATATATATATATATAAACTAATTAATAATAAATAACACACCCACACCCACTATATTACACTATACTATATACTATAGAAATGCATATTATATACATTTCTATAGTATATAGTATAGTGTAATATAGTGAGTGTGGGTGTGTTATTTATTATTAATTAGTTTATATATATATATACTCGTTTTCCTTCGACAGATGAACTAGAATCTTTCAGACCTTCTCCATACTGTATAACATCAGCACAGAATATGATAATTACGTTTTTCCCTCATTATCTGAAATATTATATTGTAAAACAAAACACTCATATCGAATTACATACAGTACTCATCAAGGTGAATCACTTAACTATCCAGGAAATCGTCAGAGGACATGAATGAGTGTTTACAGCAGAAACACACTCATACTGTCCAGACTCTGAACCCAAACCCCAGACCATAACAAACAGCATCCATACCGATCCCCCGGAAAATGGATTCTGAATGTTTCACAACACTAGTCCACTTACGCTGCTGTAAGGCTCATCTTATGAATATTAACTAGAACCCTGTCCGCAAATCAGGAAAGCATAGTGGTCTGACGTAATGCTACATAATACATATTCATGAGCTTCTTCCGATGTTTTAGAATAAAAGTCTGTTTATATAACATAGTTTTAATTATTCAGATATAAAACTGGTTTCAAAATTATTACACTTATTTCAGATCGTCTAGAGAGGGAATTTACAATAAAATCCTATGAAAATACAATTAGATTTTTCAACCCATTTGCAGGACTAAACTGTACTCTCGACAATGATCTGCTGAGAATTTATATTAATATCTGCTGATTTAATTGTGTGTGTGCACTGTGAAAAAAACTCTAACAAGACAACATCAGATTGTGTATTAAATCAAGTTTATTTGAAATATCATTCAGTCAAATACAAACACAAACACAGCCATATTACTACATACTACTTGTTTTCATTTTACTACACGTCAAGAGTTCACTGAGAACAGGCACAATGTAAATCTCACATGCTGTCATAAAGACAAAGATCTACAGACACAGAACGGACGACACATGCTTCCACAAGAGGATTTTACATCACCAAAGTCGAGCCCTTGACTGAGGGTTCAACCTCTGACCTTTAGTCATAAGGGTGTCCATGATTTTGGTCACAAGTGGTGGCACTTACAGAGTTGGCAGTCATCATAGCTTTCCTGAAGAATCAGCACGGATTAAACGAGATGACAAAAAAGCCAAGCGATGCTGTTTAGTTATTCACTGGTGTTTAAATTCACATTACTCTGCTTCAGAGGAGTTTCACTGAACATGGGCCACATTTATCAAGGCTCTTATTTAAAGGATTTTTTGTTGTTGTTGTAAGCATATATATATATAAAATAATTTGGCTTGCTTACAGTGTTGTTACATTTTTATGGTTTCAAGTGTTCATTTTCAAATTGCAATTCAAACGAACAAATATCAACTTGATAAATGTCCTCATGTGGCTAAAACAAACATGTTGACCGATATAAAGATTCATGCAAAAGGTGGTACAAAATGTTATGAAACAAGACGCAATTACAGAACCTTCTAACAGTCCACATTCACCATAATTCCTTTTCTGTTTCTGCTACATACTTAATTTCACATACCCTAACAACGATGAACACACTTACCCATCTAACATACATCAATAACACTAGATTTCTGGGTAGACATTTGATTAGAATTTCATGCTAAGAAGCTTCAGTTTGTAAGAGCGAAAATGAATGAGGTACGAATAACTATTAAGTTGAGCTTTCGAAATTACAGCAGTCCTACAGCCTGTGAGAGCAACAGCCAAGCAAAAAACGAGATTTTATCCATTTTACTTTCAAAAAATTATTTACAACTTCACAAAAGTTTTTTTTTTTTCCTGTTGTTGTGGTTGTGGTTGGTTACCTGTGAGTGGTTTGTAGGTGAAACAGTCCTCTTTTGCAGTTGGCGAAAAACCGAAAAACTGTGCTAAAACTGTGCCCTTCTGCCTCTTATTTTATCAGTTTCCAGCATGGATCGTTTTCTGGGTCTGAACACCAACACCATAATGTTGGTTTGCTGTAGAGTGAGGGATGGGCGTCATCTCCTGAGGGTAAACAGTAAATTGGATAGTTTCATTACAAATTAGCCTTAGAACATTATATCTTAAACAGAACGTAATTCTCAGATATTAAGAGCAGTGCTGAAATACGTACCTTTATGGCACTAACAGAAAGGGTGTAGACCCCAAAAAGAGAAACAACCAAACCAATGGCACATGCCAGCATCAGGAAACCGATCAGTGTCACCAAGATTCCATTCACTAAGAACTGTAATACAAACCACAAATACAATAGTATATCCCAACAGCACTGTTCTATCATCAAACTATATATACAAACACCCCAGTATTTACATGGTAAATCACAATCATATGCCAATAATAACACAAAAAACAATATGAATATCCACAGAGAGGGAAAATGGAAAATGTTATACTTCAATTAATCAGTCATCATATTCCAAAATTCTAATTAAGTGATAGACTTTGATATTTGGCCGTTTGCTTTATGCGCAATTTCTATTTTTAAACTTTTTTTGGTGAAGAAAATGTAGAATTGACATTGCATTCACCTATATACATCACAGTGTTATTTTAGTATTATTAATATACTATTATTGTATTTTAGCTTTTATTTTTATACTTTCAGTTTGAATAATTTTCTTATGTGATTTTGTCTTTTACTTGCGTGATTTACTGTATAAGGTTTTATAATGTTTATGTTTTTCTGTCTAATATTTCTATATTTTCCATTTTTTTCTTTAGTATTAGTCATTCAACTAATATAATAATATAAATATATATTTTTTAAGTTAAATTTTATTTCAGCTTTATTTCAATCAGCAAAGATGATTTTTAGTTTTTTTTTTTTATTGGTTTATTTAACAACCACACTGATGCATCAATACAGCCATGCCACTCTTTAGTTATTGGTATCATATGTAATTGAAAAACCCATATTAATCGACCACTAGTCTAAATTGCGCAACAAAGCGCTAAGTTATTCTAAATTAATAAATGCTTGTGGCATGAGTTCTCTCATAAAACACTAAGAATTGTGCATTGCACCAGTCTAAATCTAGGGGAAAAATTGATATTATATTGAAACGAATTACAGTTTGAATCCAGCTCAGAGTCTCAGGGTGTGTAGTTTTCCCCCTGCATCGTAAAGCTTGTAATGCGACTCACCTCTTTTTGTGCCTCTTTCCCTCCATCTCCACAGCAAGCCGAAACAGAGTGAAGTGGGTCACAACACCACTGAAACAAGCAGGACAGAGCCTGGAGTCACATCTCTCTTTTTACTCACACACACTCAACCACAGTCTGCCGTCTGCCAGAGACTGACGTTCAGATCGATGTACAGCTCCCTGATTCCTACACTCAAAATCATCTGCTTTTCTGATCCACATTCAGGACAGGCAGAAATAAAATTGCCAGTTCTCAAAATCTGACTGACATCTTTGTTTGGCAATGAACAAAGCAAGCGGGCCATTTGAAGTATAACATTTCCCCCCTTTTTTTAACAGATGAAGCCATTCTTGTGTTATTTCAATAACTGAGTATATGATCTGTTTTTTACAATATTTGAAATATTGAGTCACTTGTGGGAGGAAGGTGTCTTGGCTCGAGGATGAGCAGGATGGGGCGTCTCTGTTTGTTTACCTCTGTGTCCCTGTAGTAGTACGACTCTCCTCTGAATGGGATGTGTCTGGCCATGAGCCCAAATCCAACAATATCAAATGCTGCTGTTAGTAACTGCAGAACAATTGTTGTCAGCAGCTGCAACAAATGAACAGACATGTATTTTAACAATAAATAAATTCCAATAACATAATAGTAAAACTCTCATTTTCAATAATGATGAATGCTGAAAAATACAGTGAAAATATTGGCAATTATAGTTAACTAAAATCTTAAAAAGCATGAAATAAACTGAAACTTAAAGAAATAAAATCAACTGTAAAAATTCTTTCATTTCAGCTAGTTGCCAAGGCAACATTTCTCATTTGAATTTTGTTTAACTTGATTTACTAAATTAGCGAAAACTAAAATAGAAAAATTACCAAAAACGATATAGACATATATTTAAAAAAACAAAAACTACTAAAATTACAAAAACTAAATTACGTTAAAAGTAATAGTTAAAATTTAAGTTAAAAATAATAAAAAAAAAACTACATAGACACAAAAGCTGATTCGAAATATTAATTAAAAGTATCAAAATAACACTGTTCCAAACTGCCCCATAAAAACAAAACAAACTATGGCTGGTCACTTCAGAAGTCATTCAAGTAATGTCTTGCAATCTAAGTGGCTGGTTCTTGGCCAAAATACAGTATATGCAAAGAGGACCTTTGTTGAAAAGTTTGATTACATGAGGCTATTGCTGAGACTGCACTTACAGTATTTGGTCAATACAGGACGAGGAGGAGCAAGGTCCTTCTGACGGAAGGACATTAAAAGGATTTAAATGAGGTGACTTGATTTGTGTCAACTGACTGCACTCATTCACTTTCTAATTTTCAGAAGATATTCATATATGTGTGTTCATAATGTACCAGACATTTAGATGGCTTCCTCCCAGTGTGCACCAGGACAACACCAGTTATGACAAGCTGTAGGAAAACAGAGCCGTATGTCACATGGCTGATTTTAAACATCTTAAATGTATTCCAATGTGTGTGCATTTGTACCTGAGCACCGTTGACGATGAGGATGATGATTTCACGCTGGATATGGTAGTGCAGCTTATACACAATTGTGCTCAAAATGACAGTAAACACACCAATTATGATCTCAATAGCCTAAACCAAAGCACACAAAATTACAATCACAAACTGCAGTTTTACATGCTGAAATATATTAGCAGAGTTATTTTTTGTTGGTTTTTGTCAAATCTGTCTATATGTCATATCATTATTATTATTACTATTATCAATTCTGTTCTTGGTTAAAAAAATAAGACTGTGTTTTTGAAGTTGAAATGAATTTATAATTGTTTTATCTTGATTATATTCAGTTCAGTCTGTCAGTGTGTATGTGTGTGTGTGTGTGTTGAGATATGGGTGTGTCCTTGGATGTTGGCCAGATGTCATTTATTAAATATACTACATGTGCTACATATTAAACTAAAGCCTAAATATGATCTTCTATAGGAAAGCACTTATTGAATTACTAAAAACTCATATGCAACATACCAAAAATATGTAAACAACGTGTTCAGACTATAAAATCAAGCGTAAAGAAACAGGCTAGTTGATCAAATACCTGCAGCTGATGATTCAGCGGCAAATTATCGATATAATAATGTGATAGTGTGCTGTAGTGAAACTCACGCCAAGTGTCTTGGGCTCCGCGCTCTTAAACGCTTTAATCTGAGACGCGTACAGCGACATGCTGATAGATCACCAATCACTCATCAATACCGCACGATCCGCTGCAAACACAGTCACAACATGCATCAACGAAACGGCGTGCATACGAGCTAACGCGTTCTTCATGCATATTTTGAATGATATTTTCAACCCATTCACTCTTTGTAAGTATACTAACGTGATCGTGCGTGTTGAGGATGCGCTCGCTTACCTTTGCGCACTGGCGTTCTGCAGCAGAGTCTGAGCGCGCGGCGGCTCTCCGCAGTGTTGATGTCATGAGAGGAGGCGGCGGCTAAACAAGGAGTAAACCAGTTCGGTCCCGAGTAGAACTCAACTCATTCCACCAGCCCATGTTCCAGAAAACACCCCTGCAAGCGCTCGAGAGCGGGGTATTTTTAAACCGGTTATGAATTATGTAGAGGATAAGAGCTGAGTCAAGAGTGTCTTGGGAGAAACTGCAGGCTTGAAAATTCGTGAAACCACAATGTCTTGCATATATGGACTGTGCATGTCTAGAGTAAAGAGTAATGAATAAAGAAGTGGCTCTCAACCAGTGTTCTGGCAAACGTTCATGGGGCCCCAAGATGATTTAAATGAAGTGACATGTGGCCAAAATTTGTGCACAATTTGTGCTCTGCATTTAACCCATCCAAGTGCACACACACACCGTCCAACACACCCGCAGCAGTGGGCAGCCATATTGCTGCAGCACCCGGGGAGCAGTTGGGGGTTCGGTGCCTTGCTCAAGGGTCTCAGTCGTGGTATTGAGTGTGGAAGAGAGCGCTGTACGACAACCCCCCACCGGACCTGAGACTCGAACCGGCAACCTTCGGGTTGATAATTACTATTTTAGTCACTTATTTTAATCTATGGACACTACTAATTTCTGTAAATTAAAAAATGGGGGGTTGGAGCTTACTCCTTACACCTATACTCCTCAATGGGGGTGAGGAGTAAAAATCTTTGGACTGTGGTGGACCTTGTCAAAAAGGCTGAGAACCACTGGAGTAAAAGATATATCCAACTCTAGTGTTTTATTGTCAGTCATAATTATTGCATAAAAGGCAACTCTAGAAACAAATGTCAGAATTATGACGCGAGTCATAATTAAGGCATAAAACATTCTAAATTATGACACAAGTCGAAATTCTGACAGTCGAAATCGAGATGAAAATGTATTCTCATCATTTCAACTTCTGATGCCATAATTAGGACTTGCTATGTCATAATTTCAACTTTTTATCTTATAATTATAACTTAGTGTGTCATAATTCTGACTTTTCATAATCACAATTACAACATTTTTGGACTTTTTATATCAATTTAAACTTTTTGTCATAATTTTGAGTTTTGTCATAAGTATGTGATAATTTTACATTTATTTATCAAAGCATGATTTTTCTTATGCCGCTGAAATGGGCTTCCACAAATGAATGCTTAAGCTTTTTCTTTAGAATCTGTATTGGAGAGCAAGTTATATTTTTAGAAATAAATGTGCCCTTTTTCCCCAACACTAAGAAAGTATTGAGGAAATATTGTCAGAATCACTTTCAGAATATTTTTTTCCACCAACTTAAAAAACACTGACAGCCAATCAGAATCCATCCCGACTTTAGCAGATGACATAACAGCAGCATGTAGAATATAGAGCATTTTATTCATGAAATCAGCAAGAAGTGTGCTAAAGGTCCCAAAGAACATTACCATACAAAAGTGTGTATAACAGATGACACTGCAAAAAATTACAAATCATCTAGTGGGAAATGGGTATTCTGTATTATATCGAACAATTCCATCAAAAAGAAAGAACTCTATAAAGCAAATGTTATTACACTTAGCCTATATGATGATTAAACTTTTGACTAGATAAACCTTGGCCATAACTGTGTGGCTGTTCAGGGGTTGGAGTCACAATCCACCCCAACCTTCAGAAGACTGGAGTCACTGCCGTAAGGGTCGACGTCGGTTTCATCCTGAAGTAGAAAAAAAGATTTTCTTAGATCACATCTTTATTTCACAATCAAGGCTATACACTGAGAACTGAAGTTTGAGCTTAGATCTTCAACTACAACAGGCCATCAGACCCTCATTTACATTTCCTCATGGAATGACATCAGGTGAATAATAAATGTTACCCTGGACCACAAAACCAGTCTTAAATAGCTGGGGTATATTTGTAGCAATAGCCAAAAATACATTGTAACTTCCAATAAGCTTATTTTTAGGCGCTGCGTAATATCATTGCGCCTGCTGCACCCATGGTACGGCAGCAAAGTTCCTTGATTATTACACCAGAATGAGAGTATAGTTCCTAGCCATATCGGCCTACAAAATCACAACTTCTAATTTTCCGTCGGTCTTAGTACATGATGTAACCACAGAAGAGTCAAGTTTTAAATACACTGTAAAAAATGACTGTGAATTTAACGGTAAAAGACTGTAAAAATGCTACAGTAAAAACCTGTTAAATGGTTAACGGTAAATTCCCCTACTATATACGGTGAAAAACTGTATTGGACATTACATGTAATTTTACGGTAGTATACCGTTTTTGGAAGTGAAAAATACTGTATAATTTACAGTGAATAACCGTAAATAATAATAAAAAAATTTGACATTCCCAGAATTCCCTGCGTTACATTTCAAATTTGATGTTTTTTTGTTGCAGATTTCAGTACTTCAATAGGTTGGTATATTAACATTATATCAGTTAATGAAATTACGGTATTTAACTGTAAATTTAAGTTAAAACCTAAAACGTTGCTACCGTATTTTTTACGTAAAAATTCCGGCAACCACAGCTGCTGGTTTTTTACCATAAATTTTACGGATTTTTTTTTACAGTGTAGGAAAAATATAGAAACTCTTTGGTCATTTTTGAGCGAGATGCTAATGGTCTAATCAGATTCAATGATCTATGCTAAGCTACAGCTAAAAGTGCTACCGCCAGACCCGGAGATCAGCTAAATGGATTCGAAAACGGCAAAACTCAACTGTTTAACTTTAGGGGAGTTGGAAAATGAGCCTATTTTCAAAAATAGTGGCGTGTTCCTTTAAGGAAAGATCATGTTCCATGAAGATATTTAGCAAATTTCCTACCATAAATATATCAAAACTTCATTTTTGATTAGTAATATGCATTGCTAAGAACTTCATTTGGACAAATTTAAAGGCAATTTTCTCAATATTTAGATTTTTTTGCACCTTCAGATTCCAGATTTTCAAATAGTTGTATCTCTGCCAAATATTGTCCTATCCTAACAAACCATACATCAATGGAAAGCTTATTTGTTCAGCTTACATTCTTACAATCTTACATTTAAGACTGTTTTTGTGGTCCAGGGTCACAAATATGAACCTCTACTGAGGTTTGATCTGGGTTTGGTCTCACCTGTTGGATGGCCCGGGCGGAAAAGATGGACAGAGTGATGCACACGCACAGTTCAAGAAAACACAGCACCAGCAGGAGACCCCTCACTCCATCTATCAAACTCTAAATAAAAAATATTGCACGTGGCATAAAAACAGTTATGTTCTGTCCTTCGAATATGCTACAGGCAGGCATATGCATCTGCATTAATTTAATGTAAACATGAGCTTGAGATCATCACTAGTTACAGACGTACATTAAATTTCAATATCATGCTCGAACATGACCAGTATTCTCCGCCGTTACAAGGATCCTCCCCTGGTCTGTTGCTGAGCTCCCAACTGAAGTAGCCGGTTCCTGCAGCAGCCAGCAGAGCACAGATCACATTCATGGCCAGCGTGGCTTTGATCTGCACAGACACAAAGAATAAGAATGTATATTTCTTGCATAATGAAGCATTTTCAGGCTTTCAGGAAACATTTGAAGACTTCAGGAAATACTGAAGTGTATTCAGACTTCAGAAAGGGTGCAGAATGCTGTTGGTATCTGAACACACCGGGTATGTGACACGTAAAAATATGCAGTAAATATGAGAATCTGCTCACCAGAGTAAGACTGGATCTCTTGTGTGCAGCAATTGCCATGGACCCAGAGATGACAAACTGAAAAATAAAAATACTAAAAATATTACATGTTTATTTTATTTGTTTTTATAAACCTGAACCAAACTACAGAGATTCCATATCAGAGGTGCCCAAACTTTTTACTACGAAGGGTGAAAAATCAAACTTGACTATATATAATCATATCATAATAAAATGTAAAAATGTATTCATTTTCTTAATAAAATGTACTTGTATTTAAATTTTTAAAGCAAATTTTATTTTAATTTAATGCAACAACAAAAAAAAAGAAGATAAATTAGAAATAGGGTTGCAAAGGGGCAGAACATTTCTGGTAAAGTCCTCTAAACATTCCAGGATTTTTTTGAAAACTTTTTGGAAAATTGTTAAAACGTTCTGCCCCCTCCCACCACCTCCTCTTCTTTAAATAAAAGATCATATTTATTCATTTATATTTCAGTGGCATTTTTTGTGTATTTATTTATTGTGTAGACTTTAAAGTTGACATAAATGCTGATATTTTGTATTATTAGGGATCAAAATGGTCACTCACAGGAAGTCCAAGGGACATTACGGTCTCAACATTCAGCATGTCCACAAGTACCGTGATGGTGCACAGAGTCATGACCACCAAACCTGTAAACACCTGCACCAACTGCACACACACACACACACACACACACTTCAGTAAAATATACTTGAAATCTGACAAACTTTCCTGAATCATTTCTCTCTAAACAGTAGGAGAATGTTTAAGGGAAAATCCATTTAAAATTAATATGAATTATGAACAACATCTGTTACAAGCTGCTGAAACAAATCCAAGTCCAAATTGTTTTCTGTAGTCAACATAGCTTAACTCATATTTAACATTGCTGTGAAACTGCATCCGAATACACGTGTCCAGCTCTCACCCCCAGTGACAGAGGCCTCCCCTTTAGGAACATCCTGGTTTTTGGTGATAGGTTGGACTTGTCTAGTTCGACCGAGCTTGACTTTAGGTCTGGAGACTCTGTTTTTTCCTCCAGCGGGATAATATGAGTCACTACCCTCACCCCATTGTCCTCAGTAGTCATTGAAGAGGCCATATCTCACAGAAATATGAAGCTCACGTTTATACTGCAACAACAAGGAAGCAAAAAACACATGAGACGTGGTCAACCCTGTTACCTGCCTCTCATGTCCTGATTAAAGTTGCACATCTTTTAGTTTGCATTAGAAATGTTTACTGTATGTACATCATGTGATTTAAAAATACCATTGAAATTGAATTATGTAGTTCTTTAATCTAGTTATCTACAACAGGTGTGTCTTATCACGCACCTGGATACTGTCAAAACCTACTGAGCTGCCATGTTATGTACTG